ATAGAAACAACTGCCCTGCAAACATCTCCCGTTTGGGTGCGATGGTGGAAAAGATATGTAGATGATAGCAACGCCTGTGTAAAACAATCGGACATTTCAATATTTCACAATCATCTAAATACTATCAACCCACATATACAATTTACTCTTGAAATGCCTGTTGTTACAGACAATCAGCAAACCATAGCGTTCCTGGATACCGAAATTATAACCACGACATCTGGTGATGTTAATGTTAGTGTATATCAAAAAAGTTCTCACACGGACAAATATTTGTTATATAATTCACATAGCCATGTGAATGACAAGAAAGCTGTAGTTAAAACATTATTAGATCGCGCAAAAACTATCCCAACGAATTCCGTATTGCAAGCCCAAGAGACTGAAAATGTGATTGAAACATTAAAATTAAATGGCTATCAAAAGCGTTTCATTGAGAAAGTTGTTGCGAACAACCATCAGACTAACACAAATGATGGGTATAAAATTCGTGGATCGACATGCCTTCCTTATGTTAACGGAGTTTCAGAAAAAGTAAAAAGTATTTTAACCAATGCAGGAGTTCAGGTCGCCTTAAAACCAGTACTAACTTTAGGGAATATTTTTCGCAAGTCCAATGCAAGACCGTCAGAAGACAGAACAAAAGCTATTGTATACAAATACAAATGCAGAGAATGTCCATTTACATATATCGGTGAATCAAAGAGATGTTGGGCGACAAGGTGGTTAGAACACAAACCGGGAGTTAGAAAGAAAATTTTTTCGACAATAAAGGAACACGCTGAATGCACTGGTCACAACGCTGCAAAATCAGACGCTGTAATATTAGAAAAGGGTGTTAAGAACTACGAACAAAGGATTTTCTTAGAGGCTTTACATTCCACTCTTAGTGAAAACACGGCTAATGAACATACTGAATTTCCGGCTTGTTATTCTACAGGGTGTCCCAAAAAAAACGAAAACTATTGAAATCACCAATAACAATTTAATTGTTAGAATTTGAATGTCTTAGCGCTCTGTTGGTTCCCACGAGTGCATAAATGATTTACACAAGTAAATTTTATGCATAAAGAAACTGTTTAAGAAGCTGTTTTTAATTCCCAGGAGCAGAAAATCGCGCACTTTACCAGGAGATATTCCTAACTAAATTCTAATACATGCAACTTGTCAATATCTTACGCATCATTACGTCCAGCTGTTTGGTAGGGCATTCAAATTTAACAATAAGTGATTTCAATAGTTTTCGGGGTTTTTTTGACACCCTGTATATTAGCAGATGAAATCAAGCGGAACGACAAACATTATAAATAGAGGTGTAATGACTCTTGCCATATACTCTGATGAAGGCTTGCAGATTGCAGCCGAAAATTTAGTTTTTAATTTTACTAGTTTTATTTTAAATAAAATGTTTTTAACTAGATCAGCTACAAACCTTAGAAAAGTTATCATGTATTCTACTGATCGCTTCAATAGCATATATATATATATATACATATATATATATACATATATATATATATATATATATATATATATATATATATATATATATATATATATATATATATATATATATATATATATATATATATATATATATAGGACGACAAAGTACGATGCGTATGTGGGACACACAAAATATTATAAAAGTGACAAAGTAGGTCATATTTCGAATACGCATGCGTACTACATGTCGTAGTTTCAAAGCAGCGTAAAGAGCCATGAACGGACTATGACTTTAGTGTGTCCTGCCCTTAGCAACTGTGGACAGCTGTTTCACCCTTTTGGGGCTCATCAGCACAGTGTAGCTAATGGATAAGCTGCATCTCCAAATATTTATAGGACGACAAAGTACGATGCGTATGTGCGAAACACAAAATATTATAAAAGTGACAAAGTAGGTCATATCTCGAATACGCATGCGTACTACATGTCGTAGTTTCAAAGCAGCGTAAAGAGCCATGAACGGACTATGACTTTAGTGTGTCCTGCTCTTAGCAACTGTGGACAGCTGTTTCACCCTTTTGGGGCTCATCAGCACAGTGTAGCTAATGGATACTTTGTCACTTTTATAATATTTTGTGTGTCCCACATACGCATCCTACTTTGTCGTCCTATAAATATTTGGAGATGCAGCTCATCCATTAGCTACACTGTGCTGATGAGCCCCAAAAGGGTGAAACAGCTGTCCACAGTTGCTAAGAGCAGGACACACTAAAGTCATAGTCCGTTCATAGCTCTTTACGCTGCTTTGAAACTACGACATGTAGTACGCATGCGTATTCGAGATATGACCTACTTTGTCACTTTTATAATATTTTGTGTGTCCCACATACGCATCCTACTTTGTCGTCCTATAAATATTTGGAGATGCAGCTCATCCATTAGCTACACTGTGCTGATGAGCCCCAAAAGGGTGAAACAGCTGTCCACAGTTGCTAAGAGCAGGACACACTAAAGTCATAGTCCGTTCATGGCTCTTTACGCTGCTTTGAAACTACGACATGTAGTACGCATGCGTATTCGAGATATGACCTACTTTGTCACTTTTATATATATATATATATATATATATATATATATATATATATATATATATATATATATATATATATATATATATATATATATATATATATATCTGTGTTATTTTCAATTACTATTATTGTATTTAATATAAAAAATGAAGCTATATGAATGATGGAAGATGGAAATGGTTATTCAATTTCTATTGAGAGTGCTACGAATTGTTGCTTTTTTACTAGGGTGATTATACTGTACTGACAGTATAAGACGCTGAATATAAAAATGAACCAACAAAATTATTTTTTCCTAAGGAAAATAGCACCTTTTCATTTTTCCCGAAATTGGATGAGAAGAAAGACCATCGTGAAAGTGTTGCAGAAACAGAGACGATCACCGATTGGAAAGCTCCTGTCAAGTTATCCCAGGCACTTCCATACGACAGCAGTGCAAGTGAATCAGAGGATGATGTTGAACAGTCTACGAGTGATCTCATTTCTTCTGTAGCTAATAGGAAAAGATGTTTATTTTACCATCCAGATGACCAGGGAATGATGGACGCACTGCAAGGTGAGGCGAAAATTAAGGAAATATATGTATGATTGAGCGGCATTTATGTAAAACATGACGAAACAGTGGTTACAGTGCTTAGTTTCTGTGATATGCAGTTAATAGTTGATTATTACCTCGCCTCAGTCGCATGTTATATATGTTATAAAGAATGAGCTTGCTGTTTAGAACTGATAGATCACTGTCTTACATGTTTCTTTCGGTAAGTGGTGAAAGCTAGTCTAAAATAGGATCCTAATGCAACGGGTATACCTTAAAATACGAGTTTGCTTGGTACAGTTTTCAAAAAAATCATGTGCACAACAGTTTCGCATTTTTAAACTTCATATTCTATGATGTTTCTTCTTTCAAGTCATGTTTACTTAGTTACCGTAGTACCACAGTACCTAGTACCTAATTGCTATATGGCCACACAAGCGTACAAAATTCACTCGCTTCGCGTAGAAAGCACATTTCCGTGCACAACATGCAACAAGCTATATATACAACACGCATATAATGCTACACGACGGCGTGAGCAACTCGCCACGTTAGGTAAGAATGGCACGCTGGTTTGTTTATTTTGCATATATAGCCGACGTATCACCGTACATTGTATGTTCAGACGATCGCTTGGAATAAAAATATCCACAGGTGGAGTATCAAGATTAACCTGCTCCGATCGCAGTAATTATATGGTATGAAATATCTTATCGTTATTAAGTCAACACTTTCTATTTACACGTGTAGCGGAAAGTTCCAGTTTTATGAGGAAAGAATCAGTTGAAAGTTTAACACGTTATTGGGTGGAAGTGAGACAGAAGATCACGCAGGATTATAAGAAAAAAAGAAAGGACGCTTTAAGACGCCAAAAGAGAACATCATACAGGAGAGTGGAACGTTAATGGTTAGTATTTGATTATGCATGTTTACGTTCTTTTCATTGTTGGTGGGACATTCCTTTCCAACAGCTGAAGATTATATATGTAAGTCATTACTATCAGCCTTCATACTGTGGCATGTATAAACATAATAACTAATGTGAAATTTGTCGATTTAGCATTGGTAATACTTTACTAATATAAGAAGAAATATATATGTGTTGAGAAATTAGGGAAAAGATTGAAACTTGTTTTTTACGACTTGTTATATATATATATATATATATATATATATGTTTATACGAATGATATAGAAAGACACAGTATAGACGTTTGGAATTTATACATTTTTCACAGATACTACCATGTATATTATTATGACGATTACAAAATTAGAAACATTTAATATAATTCTTATACTTATTTAATTCTCCTTGCTCTTATATTTCCAGAATACGTAATGTGTATATTCACAAAATTTTGCATAAAATAGTAGATAAAAAATTATAATTGATACAAGTTATATTTATACAGTCGTTATGACTTACGTGTCAATTTACAGTTAAGTATGACTGTTTTCCACTTCTGCATTTTGCCCGCAGCGGGCGAAAACGATCTATGGATTTTTTCGCCTGTGTTGAAATAACACCAAAGTGGAATGCCGGCATAAGATATTAAGTACTTATAAAAATAACCCAGCCCAATTAGTTTTAATGGTCAATCGGCTTCAAAACGTTCTAGCTTGAACGTTTGCGTGGCGGTAGAGCATTGTACAGTATCTCTTGGGTTGTGGAAAACACCTGCACATATATATATATATTTATTATTACAAAGCTTTCGATCCCTAATCACGGATTTTCATAGCACTCAAATATAGTAGACGTGGTGGTTTCCACAAGCCATGAGATATATACTAATTTTATACTTAAACAATTTTGGCATTTGCACGCCTATAAAAATATTTTAATGTTTATGTTCTATTAAGTAAACCGTACTATAGACTGGTTTTGTTCATGACATTGTTCACAGTGATTTTGTCAACATAAGCGTATACGGATTTATTCTAGATGTATACAGTTGGCATTCTTTTACAAAATAATTTAACTACTTTCTAGATTTTAAACGATTTTGGCCTATTTCAGCAGCCGGGAAATACAAACTGAAAATAACCCATGTACATACAAGCCTCTAACTTAATATAGACACAATGTAATAAAATTGTGAAAACCGAAATTCTATAGGCCTACTAGGATAGCATCACAGTGGTCACATACATCGATCATAAGTATATTCGCTTAAATGTTTTAGATCTGAACAAAAGCATACAGCTACAATGTTTGCTCTATAAAATATACGTTCTAGGTTTTCTTGATTCTCTGAGAGACATTCATGTGCGAGGTGTGATCCCTGTTTTATCTTTGATCCATTGAAGTTTTTTGGCAACGTTTGTATACGCAAGAAATTGTGGATCTGAATCGCATTCTTCAAAATCAAAATCATGTAAATCAGTTTCATGCAGTATATCGTTGCCCCAGCTTAACACACCACTAAGATACGCGATATGTTTGTAGCTCCTTCTATCGCCGTAATTCTTATTGTACTCTTTTCTGGAGAACACTAGTGGTGATCCACTATCACCTGCACAAGCACCTCGTAACCCACCGGCACATATCATGTGATGGGAGAAGCTATAGCGTTTGCAATCTTTTGCCCTATGGACTCGGACAGATCTCTTCTGCAAACCATTTCCACCAAGTTTAGTCAGGATCATGGCTGGCTCACTTCGATTTTGTAAAAAGCTTTGTTGCTTTGCCAGATCTGGAATGCATATGGGTCGAACATTCTCAGCAAATGTAATCGGGTTTGTTAACTTGACAAGGGCGATGTCATTTTTGCACTCTGTTTTCTTTGGCTTACAAGAAGAATACTGAATTATCTCGGCCACTTCGGCTGAATTGTCATCGTTTGTATAAACTCTGTAAAAGCCATCTTTTTCAAGTGAATGACCTGCTGTTAGTACCCACTTGTTGCTAAGAATAACACCCAGAACGCCCAAATTTTCACTTTCATAATCAAACCAGCTCTGCATAATCGTGGCAAAATGAACAACCCATGGCCATTTATTTTTGTTGGCATCTTTCCAATTTTGTGTTCCTTCAATCCTATTATTGATAACACCACATTCTGAAACGAATTTTAGGTTCACGTTATTTCATAACAACGAGAAAGTGTAAAGGTTTAGTTAATAGTCTTGTGAGCTTAGTGTATGCTGTATAAGCTTGGCATATTTGTGTATAAGCTCATAGCTTACAAACTTAATGGACATATTAGATACATGAAGTACTTCCCAATACCAACTCTCTTTGTTCTTATTTCTATAAATCTTTATATACAGTGTGAAAAAAACACATGAAAACGAGTGAATTTTGTGAAAACTTATCAAATTGTTGCTTGAATATCTTCAAGACCATAATAAAAATGAATCTCTACTAATGTCAGTTACAGTAGCTGCCTACCACCAGTCGATACATGTGATCATTTTGAACAAAATTCTTCAGGAAATTGGTCGAAAGTTCTGGGGGCCGTGCCATTTCCGTGCATGCTCCCAGACTCCCTAGCAGGGTTATCGGCCACACCGCGAATTGACTGACGTCATATCAAGACCACTTCCCAATCGCACAATCATACTATCAATCATACTATCAATCATACAGTCAATCATACAATCAATCACACAATCAATCACACAATCACCCATACAATCAATCATACAATCACCCATACAATCAATCATACATACAATTATACATACAATAATACATACAATCAATCATATACAATCACCCATGTATAGGTACTATAAGTCTATAATGGAAGAGCTGGTACTATAGGTACTATAATGGTATACGCAAGTACTTCATGTACTGTAGTATATATTGCAGATGAAAAAGCTCATTTTAAGCAATGTTATGGATTTTTAAAATAGAGATAGCATTTTCGGGAGACCAAGAATAGACCGAATAGACGATTTCAATAGACATTACCGATTATTCTCTTTTATCCACTGGCCTCGTTTTCATGTCAAATACTTACTCATGTTTTGTGCTTAGTAAGGTTGAAAATTACTTTGTTATTGAGCCTAAGAACAGCAAGAAACAAATTCGTCCAGGAAAACATGGAAATATAATCTTTATCTGCCCCTGAAATGCTAAAATAAATTAACATGGAAACGAGGCCATTGCGGGCATTGGGTAAAAGAGCTGAATCATCGGTAAGGTCTATTCAAAAAATATTCGGTTCTAACCCACCTGAATAATCAATTGTATCACCGCATGTCGTTCCATCTTTGGCTAGGTAGTAACCTGTATTACAATCACAGTAATATCTGAAATTACAGAAAAACACGATTTAAAATATAGAGGATGTAATGTTATCAAATAGATAGTGCATGTGTAGTATTATGGTCTTGAGACGGAGCTACGAAGAGTTCTTCGCTCACTTCACGTATTGACTTGTATCACTTGTTACTTTGCTATTATACGTCGCTCTGTTTTTATCTAGCAATCCGTCCAGTGCGTTGTTTTGGTGGATTAATTTCTTATATTCTGCCTGGTTGTTAAACAAAGGTTCTTTGTGTTTCTTACCATTGAATGAGAGTGTTTATACAGTCGAACCTCTAGGCTAACTGTTGAGGTTCTTTACGCCCAATATGAGCCTATTCCAGGCCATTCATGCGGGCTCATTCCCCGTCGATTCCCCTGTCATTTGCTTCCCATTCCCCGTTCCCTATTTTAAAGATAGCCCACTGAAAAGATGTGTCTCCTTAGAAGAGGCCTCTGGTAATACAGGGTGTATAAAAAAGTAGACAATTTTGAAACAGCTCTCAATTTCACAAATAAAGATAAATTTTGTAAAAAAAGTAAAATAACAATTGCTCGTTTGCAATCGACGCCCTATAAAATTCATATATATTGACACGTGGCAACTTTAAAAATCATATATATTCTTCATTCTTTGTCGTATTGAGCCAAAGACCGTAAACTATCCATAATACAGTAATATGTTTTACAGAAAATGTTAAATTAAACTCAACTACTTCGCTGTAAACGGCTTAACGAAAGTTTAAAATCAACCAAGATGGCGCCTAATGACTCGTAGTGACGTCATGTGCAAGCAAAGAATATGCAAATTAGGTAAATGCATGAATTAAGCATGCATGATAGGCATTGGCGCCAAGAAATGAAAGTTTCAGCACTGAGTATTGAGTAAATTTTCTGATATTTGGACCATTGATAAAACACAACAAATGTCTCGCCCATCAACTCAAAATGCGTTTTAAACTTTTAAAATTTACTTATCACAAATTTCATGAAATGAACGGATTTGTGAATTTGAGAGCTGTTTCAAAATTGTCTACTTTTTTCTATGCACCATGTAGGGGTCGTAAATGTAATTTGATCTTTGTGCAAATTCATAGATTAGCTAGAACCGCATTCAGTGGCGTAGCGCTCATTGGGTAGGGTTAGTTCCAAAACTAGGGGCCCCCGACAGTTAGGGGGCCCCATCAGCCACGGCCTATCGCCGAGAAAATTAGAAAACGTAAAAAATGCAGGTTAAGAATCAATGGGAAAATGCAAAATTAATAATGCTAATTAAAAAGCCTCCATCGACAACGGTAGCTGATTTTTTATTCCATCACAAATAAAACAAAAGTTAATAAGTTCTTTGAAGTAATAAATAAGTTCTTTAATAATAAGTAAGTAATGTATGTAGTATAATAAGTAGTATAATAAGTTCTAGTAATAGTAGTATAATAGTATAATAGTAGTATAGTAAGTAGTATAATAAGTTCTTTAATAGTAAGTAAGTAAGTAAGTTAATAAGTTCTTTTGCAGTAATAAATTTACGTGGTGTTTCCACAAACAAAAACAATTAAAACAAAAGTTATTCTTATTAGTTGTTGCATGTGTTGGAGACTGTTATTGTTTTATTTGTTATAGACACGGAATTTCCCAGGACATTCTATAAATATTCAATATAAACATATAATATCTCAGTCAAACAATGACAACAGTCAACAGGGGCCCCGGGCACACCAAATATGCCTAAGGGCCCCCTCTTCCTCCGTTACGCCACTGACCGCATTTGCATAATTTTTGATACCATCTACCATCAGTGATAACCTGTATATGTGTTCCAACCAATATTTTACAAAATTGACTTACCCTCCATTTGTGTTGACACAGACTTGTTTACACGGTTTATTTTGACATTCATTGATATCAACACAAGAGTGACCATCGTTGCCCAATTTAAACCCTGATTGACACCTACATTCGTATGACCCTTGTGTGTTTATACAGTTATATGCACATGGTCCTCTTCCACCATTGCGAGCGCATTCATCGATATCATTACAAGATTTGGATCTGGAGTAAAAATAGTTTGTTTTAGTCGCAATAGTGCACTTCACATTTATCTAGTTTACTCGTAATTTTCGATAGGTGATTACGTGGCGCGCTATAAAGTTGTCAAGAATTCGTGATGATTGTTAAAGTGAATTCTAAGGTTGAGTGAGAAAACTCTCATCAACTCCCATCAATTCTCATTTGAACCAGCTCAAAGTAGTTGACGAGAGTCGATGAGTCACCAATTCTCATCCTTTACCATATATAAGGGCATTCATTTTAGCAAGCCAGAACGCAAGGGTAATGTCAGATGTGTTATTCCGGGTTGAACAAAACCTGACTGTTACTACGTTACTTTTGCCTGCACAATGGTGCAATATAATTTCTGGAAAGTGTTCAGAATATGTATAAACTATAATGTCATAACAAAAGTAATCTCATCTAATAATCTATACTTACCCTTTAGGTCGCGCTTCAAACCCAGTTTTACAACCACACCTAGAACTGCCAGGCAGATTATGACAAATTTGTTGACATCCGCCATTGCTGATAGAACACTCGTCAATATCGAGACACGCTGTTTTGTTGGCATTCGCAGTATAACCGTCGTCACAGTCGCATGCATATCTACAGGAAAAACACACAAGTTATGAAACAACAGCCATTCGAAGCAACAAAAATGCCTGTAGAAATGACCATACAATTATCCTTTAAGGGACTGACTATATCCTTTAAGGGACCGCCTATATATACAGTGTGTATAAAAGAACTGAACCCATATTGAACCGTTATGTAGTAATTTGACAGCTCTAATAAACCTTTCCCCTTATGAGTGAAATTTTGATCTAGATATGCCTGGACAAAAATTTCATCACAGCTTGAAAGAGCATCACAAAATTAGTAATATTCCGAAGTTTCGTTGCGAAATGTTGTAAAATGCGGATAATATATAGCCTTGCGAAGTTTGCCGTTTTTCAGTCAGTTTGTATTACGAATGGGAAATTGATAATCAATTTGATCATCTGATTATCAATTTCCCGTTTGTAATGCAAAATGACTGAAAAACGGCAAACTTCGCAAGGCTATATTATCCGCATTTTACAACATTTCGCAACGAAACTTCGGAATATTACTAATTTTGTGATGCTCTTTCAAGCTGTGATGAAATTTTTGTCCAGACTTGTCTAGATCAAAATTTCACTCAAAAGGGGAAAGGTCTATTGCTTTGAATTAATGGTTGGGTAAGAACACAAGGTCTTGTACTCACGGGACAAAACTCAAGGAAATAAAAATTAGAAAATTTAAAAGAAATACTGCATTTCACCGCGCGGGCAAAGCGACTGCAATGGAAATGCCCGCGCGGGCGGAGCGACCAATTTTAATCACGTGAAAAATCAGTCGCCCGGGCACGCCAAGAAAGTTCAATGTAGTTCTACTTCATGGCGTGTCCGCGAGCATTCAGGCGGACAAAAAATGCACAGGTTAGGCAACTACAGAGAAATTTGAGTAATGTTTGCTCCGCCCGCGTGGGCAAAGCGACTGCAATGGGAAATTGCCTTAAAGCGACCGCCGCGCGCTCGCTCAGCTTAGCCACTGATCTATATAAAAACACTGTAGTGTGCCTATTTTTAGTTATTTGCGCCTGGGTACGAGGCTGTGACGTAAGCATTAGAGTCAATTGAACTTGTGTACGTACAACAATTTTTCTGTGACGTTTTTGGTTTTCTGACTGCTACGATAGTTATTATTAACTAAAGTTATTATTAGTTGGTCACTGACCAACCGCATGCAAAGTGTTCAATGGCACAACCGTTTTCTGCTCTTTGAAAAACTTGAATAAGGCCAAATTAAAAAGTACTTGGTTAGCGTCACAGGCGGGCGGGCGTTTTTTTTACTCGTTTTTAAATTTTTTAATAGTATTATTTGGGGGGGGGGGATGGGGCGGTTTTTCCACCATATCGGTGAAATTTTTTGTACTGATGTTGCGAAGGCCGCCATTTTGCTATAAAAACCTTGTATACCCAAGCCCACGCGCTCCTATCGATCAGTATATAGCGCGAAGGCCTGATCATGAGAAAAATTTCAAATATCAAACTGTTTTAAGCTGTAAAACGAAGAGATTAATATGGAAAGCCATAGCTGTCTTAAGTGATCAAACGTCATTTTGTTGGGTGCTTTTAGCATTATACTCGGTTCTTTCGGCATTATTTGCGGCAGGGGCGGATCTAGGAATTTTCGTACGTTAGTCAAATTTTTCCGAGCTGCTGCCAGTTGGG